CCCCAAAACCCCAAAACCCCAAAACCCCAAGAGTAGAATTCTTGTATAACAAATAATCTGAAAATTGATAATATCAGAATAAATATTTTGAATTTAAAATGCAATCTGAAAAGCGTTTAGGCGGCATAAGCAACACTGGAATAGTGTCTGATTATGATGTGTTTAATTACTTAGAAAATAAGAATACAGAATAGAATAGCTTAAATAATAAGCAATAATTAGATAAGTGGAACGCACTCAGAGAGTAGCAGGTATTTCTTGTTAGTTAACTTATCTTTAGCATGAGGAAAAGTATAAGAGATTTTTGCAAGCATTGACTGATACAATCCAAGAAGATAAAGATGGGGAATATGAAATGATATCTAAGAAGATAGACAGAAGATTAGATTAAAAGGGGAAGCTTACACAAGAAGTTATGGAAGAGCTCCTTGAATTTAAAGAATAAACTCTTTGGGAACTAGAGGAGTAAATTCAAAATGCTAGATAACCATCGGAGGATTTGTTTGGAATAAAGAGAAGATTCTGTACTGTATGCGAGAAAGGTTGCATCGGATATGAACCAACTAACATGGTTGTTCCAAGTGAAAAAGTTCATGAATTCCCAACTTTCTGCAAGAATTGCCATTGCCCAGCATATTTCCATAAAGTGTGCATAGATCCAATAAAAGATGTCTAATTTCCTCCAGAACTCTCTGAAACCATAAAAAACTATAACATTTAATCTAGAGATGTAAATTTCAACTGTATCATTGCTGTCTTTCAAATAAGAGACACTGAACACTACTTTCCTAATCTAAATGAATTCATGACAATAATTAAAGAAGAGGGCCTTGAAATCTTATAGATGGAAAAAAGAAGTTTGGACATTGAAGAAGCTATTTACTTCAAAAATAGGATTGTTGGGCAAACAGAAAATTAAGTAACTCAAATGCTTGGAATTAGTGAGAAGTAAATTGGGAAACCTAGTACTATTAGAAAGGAAATATTTTAAGGTTCTTCTCAAAACACTAAGCATGGAGCGAAGGATCCCTATACTATGAATAAATATGCTGATGAAAAGGAACAAAATATCATAAAACTTTAGTAAACAATGATGAATTAGAAATCAAATAAGAATGTATAACATATTGATGGAGTTTATCTTTAGAAAACAGAAGTAAATAAATTGAAGATTATGCATGGATAATAATAGCTTTAAGGTGTTTAAAATGCAGATGGCAATTATCTCTTGGAATCTATAAATCAAAGAGTCCCAATGAATAATACTGATGCATCGGCTGCTCAGTCTATTGCTAGAACGTCAAATGTTGATAGCATTTATCGGGCTATGGACGAGAGTTTTGACCCTTAAGCTTTTACTTTAAGAGAAACTGTAATGCCAAAGCCCAAAGAAAAAATATTCAAGCTTAAAACATTTTCAAAGACAGTTACTCAGATTAAAAAAACTATTTCAAAGAAATCTGAAAGTATTTTACTAACATAAGATCTTGCATTGACTTAATAAATTGAAGGTAATCCATTGTTAAGGGAATTAGTCACTAAAGATGCACTAATTGTTGCATTAGGAAGTACTACTTTTTAAAATTTAGAAAATAAAATCAGACTCTAGATGATGAACAAAATTGTCTAATTCATTCCTAATCATGAATTACCTCTGCTTTACTTATCAGAGAATAAGATACAAGCACTTGAAGATTCTATAACATTCTTTCCAGGACTATTCAAATTAACTAAGAGCATTGTAATTACAGAACCATTAACAGACTTTTCTAATATGAATCAGGATATTTAGACTTTTGCTTAAGTCTAATTGGCTTAAACAAATTAAGCTTAAACCTAATTTAACACAGAAGTGGCTAAAATGATGGATGAGATACAGGAAGGAGAAAAGAACTTAGCAAAGATGTAAGCATTAATGGGTGGTGATCAGAACGATGAAAATAATGAAGAAGAGGAGGAGGGGTTTTATAAGAATAGGAAAACGTTAACTAGAAAAATTTCAAACAAAGTCAAAGATGCAATTATTATGAGAGAAACCCTTGCTAAAAATCAATAGCAACAGAGAAGATTGGATAGATTGAAAGAGGATTCCTAATTTGATTAAAGTGTAAATAGCTTTCTGGAAAAGGGCAAAATGGCTGAAATTAAAACGAAGAAAAAGTAAAAACTAAGAACAAAGAAAAACAAAAACTTATATAATTATGGAATAATGCATGATTTCTTCAGCTATTCAGCAATGAGTATCTAATTCTCTAAAAAAGAAATAGACTTTGATTTAACCAAAATAAATCAGTCATTTTCATTCCATGATGGACAAGAAAATGAGCTCTAGAAATAGTTAAAGGCTAATATAAATCTAAGCAATTTATATGCTATTGCTAAAGTAGGCCTAAGTAATTTGATCCTTCCAAGTGCTCTTGATATTAAACTATCAAATTACAACAATTACTATTCTTATATAAAACTTTGCGATACTTTCTTTCCTTAACTCGCCAAATCCTCTCATACTGTTTTGCTTATGAGGCCAATAATAGTTAAGAATGGGTTGAATGAGTTATTTATTAACATTCTAAAGGTAAATGACTTCACGATAATAAAGAGAAAAGTCAGAATGCTGACTAAAAGTGAAGTATTATATTTGGCTTAGGTAGAGAAAATAACCAAAGATAAAGCAGAAACATATTATAATATGATGATGGACAGTGATTGTGAGATAGTCGTTTTAAGTAAGCTTGGAGCTGTTGAAGATCTTTTGAGCATTGTAGATGGTAGCAAGCCCTATGGTAGAAGAAGAATACCATAATTGTTTGAAGATTAAACTAGTGTCAGATCTAATGTGGATTCCATAAATGGAATGTTTGAAATTACACCATTCACATCTTTCTCAGAATTTTTAGACCTTGAGGATTTTATAGTAGGTCATACGAAGCTAGAAAAATATAAGAAGCTCTATAAGGGTGACTCTAAAGGAAAAACCAATAATAGAATGGATAACTAGCTTTATTTCTACAAAATAGATTAGATTAGAAAAGAACTAAATTTATTTTAAAGATACTTTAATATTTGCGCTCTAGCCTCTCCATCATTTTATGAAGCCTAGAAATCAATGTGCATACTAATGCCAGAAGTGGCATCAATTGAAGAATCTGTATTGCTGCTAAATCCTCTATACAATACTTAATATGAGCATGCTGTAAAGTTACTTGAAAGAATGAATTTCCTGATAATAAGATAGAAATTCATTAATTTCCAAGCTTAGGATGTAGAAGACATATACAGAGATAAATTATCTTAGAAATACAAAGAGTCCTCAGCAAAAATAGCTAATTCAATTAACCCAGACTAGAAAATAAACAAATTTTATGAAAAGCAATCAGACAGATTAACTGATTTATTGTGTGGTTCTTAAGTTCATGTGTTCCATATTTGCAAAATAGCTGGAGATCGTGAAATCAGAGAGCTTTTCAGAGATTCTCAAATCGAGTACGACGATCTCCTTAAGTACAAGCTCAAAGCTACTCCATTTAAGCCAAACTAATTCCCCTTACTTTTTCTTTTTATGGATACGCCTGTTATGTTTGAAGAATCATTGAAGCTAATATATAATAATGGTGAAGTTGAAATAACGGGATAAGACTTCCTAAATGATATGAAACCAAAGGAGAAACTTGACATTCTCAATAATGCTCTGATAACTACTGTTGGTGATAAAATCAAGCATTTAGTTTATGATAGACAAGGTAAAGTTTTAAATGGGTTAATGGAGGAAGAAATCAACTAGTATGGATCTATTGAGAGAATTCCTTAGATATTCTAATTGTTCTCACACCCTAAAGGTAACCTGGCCGTACATTTTATGGTTGAATCTGAAAATCATGGACTATATGAAATAAGATTCTAAAGATTACCTCATAAAGGTGATTATTACAGCTAAGCAAACGATCAATATAAAATTAACTTAAACCAGCTTAAGCTTAGATATTACACGAAATTCCAAGGTTTAAACTTTTACTATAATGAAGTCAATAAAAGATACTACAATATATGTCCAGCATTTTATAGATTCAAGATATGCCCATTAATTGTACAAAAGGCTAGAGATAAACCATTCTTAAATAGAGTATATGAAGTAGAGGAATATATGGGTAAAATATTTATGGAGGATCTCGGCAATATGCATTAACATCATCTGCAGTTCATTAAGTAGGAAAAAGCATATTTAAATTGGAGATTTATTACTGGAAATTAGTAAAAATCTCTACCTCCATATATTTGGGGATTAAGACTTTCAAAACTCTGTAAGCAACTTGAACAAATAACAGGTCTTGATAATTAATAACTTCAGGGCTCAGGTAAAATCAAGTATAAAGAGGGAATGCTGAGAGGGCAAATTGAAAATGATAATAATTATTATGAGGAGGACAAGAAAAGATATTACTCTTATTTAGAAAAATTCAAACAAGGCTGGAGTTATTATCTAAGTGTACTCGAGACAACAATAATAGAAGAGAAATTATAAATAATCTTAGAGTCTTTTACTTTCAAGTATTCAAGATAGCCACATAACATAATTTTAATCCCTGATAGGATTGATGAAATTAATTTAAGAATAAGCGAGAAGATTAAGTTTCTCATACCAGAAGGTCTAGATAGAACAAACAAAGAAAAATTCTTCACTCATTTAAAGGAGGACACAGTTAATCCTTAAACTGAAAAGACAAGAAGTAATGGGGTTTAGAGTATAATACATGCTCTTTAAGTAGCAAATATAAAGAAAGAATTTGAGAAAGATGCAAATAGGCAACACTCTATTCATAAAGATGCAGCTATAGTAGGAGTTGAAATTGCCAGAAGACCTAAGCATCAGCTGATAGCGTCTATTCTGTATTTGATTAACTTCTGGTATAGAAAAATTGAGAGAAGATCAGAGTTGTTTATGGACTTAGAGAGGAAATACTTGGACGCTTTGAATGATCCAGAAGAGTATGAGAAGGATTATGATGCAGTTCTAGACATATTGGTTCAAAGCATCACTGAGAATTACGGAAATGATGAGTATAACCATGCTTTAGATAAAGCAAAACTTAATCAAGAGCAAGAAACAGAGTTTGAGAAAATGATGAGAGAAAAACATGAAAAAGTAGTAAGAAGAAGCGAAAGAATATAATAGAAAGTGTATGAGTAGGAAAGAGCGATGAGAACCACAATGAAGATAGAAGACTTGCTTCGCACATAAGTTAACATGCCTCAACAGGAATATGAGAAACAGTAAAGAATAATGTTGAAGAAATTCGCTGAAAGTCAAGGCAAATATGATTCAGAAGGAGAAGGATTTCTTGAAGTACTTAGATAGACACAAGCATACCTCGGACCTTATTCTATAAAACTTGCTCAAGATTACCTTGATAAGTTTAAAAAGCAAGAAAGGAACAAATCAGAAAAAATATCGTTTGTTAAAATGGAGTATTTCTTATTCGGGGTGTCAGAAACTTACAGAATAATAGAGGAATTAAAAGCATTAGAAGGAAGAATGGAGGAACTGCATAAAGATCTTGATATTGAAAGAAAAAGTGAGGAGATGATGAGAGATAATTTTAACCATTAGTACATTGGCTAGGATTAAGAGGCTGCTGCAAAAAGAGTCCTGAGAATTCTTGAAAAAGAAAATCTTATCGAAAAAATAAGCTATTAGATCGCAATGAGAGAAACAGATCTAGTTTTGTCATTTAGAGAGCTTATGAGTTGGGATTTCTATGTTCCTGATTACTACTTTGATAAAGAGTAGCTTATTAAGCACAATAATACTTTAGCTGAGGTATATACAGTGCCAATGAAGACTTTCTGGATTCCAGTTACGATAGATACAAGATATGAAGAATACTTAACATCAGAATAGTATGCCAAGAGAATAATGAAGTTTGAAGATGAACATCGTATTCTGTCTACTGAATACCTTGATAATGTCTTTGATACAAAACTTGATTAGAAAGAAGGCACGTTAGTCTCATATCTCAGACCTTATAACAACAAAAAACCAATGGATTATCTTAAATTCGACCGATACTATAATATGGGAGAATACCATCAATTTAAAGAAGTTTAAGAGGTAAAGAATGTAATTCTTCATAAAACCACTAAGCAAGAACATTTCTCCTACGGAGATATTTTCAGGTAACAATAATCGAAAAAGTGAATGGTATTCGTTAATCAAAGAACCATAGATGAGAAACTTTAGCAATTGAATTTAAATTTAATTTCATTAATTCCAGATCAATTAGAATCTCTAGGGGTTTTGGGGTTTTGGGGAGATCGGAAGAGC